AAAAAAAACCAATCTTACTTTTTACACGAGGTACAGACTCGTGCAGCACTGTGACTAAGTACTAAGCCGGAGCACAGTGGACAGACAAGACCCACTCCCATCTGCATTGCTCCACCAACTCCTGAACATGTATCGCACACTTCTGTAGCTCCACCACCCAGGAAACCGCTACCGCACTCGATACACTGAAATTATCTCAGTCCCGAATAAGTTAAGAATAATAGGCGTAGATGTTAGAAAAGACAAACAGACCATTCGAGTTTCTAATTTTGTCTCCAACATCTTCATTTCACTGTTTTCAGAGTTACTGTCAATGCAACCATTCGCCGATATCTTGGCAAGATTATCCTTCCTTCAAATTAAGCAATGAAATTGAGGGTAGTGAATTGGCAAGACTGTAATTTTGCAAAGACAAAAGTGGTAAGCGAGATAGCTGACAAGCAACTCCTTCCTCCATAGCGAAATGGTATGAACAAGCAAGATATGATATACTTAAACAAAGAAAATTCCAAAATGGACATTCTTTGAAAAGAAAGAAAACTTAATTAAAGTCATGTCTAGATGTACGTAAACCTACGCTAATCTCGTGGCGAAGGCGTCAAGTCGTAAAGACTTCTGTTGTTTTGACGATAAAACGAGAGAATGATCTCCGTTCATAACCACTACTTAACAGACCATCATGTCACTTGTGTTCCCTTTCTGTTAGTGAATAAATCTGAAACATGCGAAACTCTGTCTGAGAAGAGATCCATAACAGATAAATTAGCAATGGAAATCAGAAAACGTTGCTAAATATTGTCACTTATAGATTCGGGTGCTATGATAGAAGGTATGGGGAGAAGTCTAGGCCTTTAAAAGCTAATCATCAAAATATTTTTTACTAAGATCTATACACCAAGCCAACAACCTAAAAATGAACAGACAGCAAGAAAATTGTAAATTGAGGTGTTGACACGATTAAACATAAATGCTTAGAATGAAAAGCTAAGCACTAGTTAACCGCCAAGACTATTACTCATTAGCAACATGCAAAAATGCAGCTATACAATAAAAAGAAAGAACTGTTTTGGAGTATTGTGCTGAATAAAACAAAGCGATGAAGCCGAAAAATAGAGAACATACAGAAAAAGGCTAATGAAAAAGAGGATCTTAGCAATGCTTGGGTCTCAACAAACATTTGAGCACAACATCGACTTCACCACTTAGCAGACTCTCAAGCTGCAGCATTTCCTATCGGATAGAGAAAAGAACTAACAATGACCCGGAAACCCAGCGATGTGAACTCATTAACAGGTCGTGAACCCAAATATCGATGAAAATACTGAGCGAAAATTCGACTATCGATCGCAGGCATTTTGCCAAGATCTTTCTCAGCTCCCTCTATTACCACTCAAGCTGTCGCGCTGCTTGGCTCCCGCTCATCATTGCCGTTCCAGTCCTGTGCGGGTTGTTGAAGAGAGGAACAAGGTCCCTGCCCGCGCGCGGTCGCGGCGCGTTCAACAAATCGTCCTCTCACAGCTGAGG